GAAAATAATGATGGACACCCCGGGAGCCACACGTCTTCGGGATCTGGGCAGCCGAAACCTCGTCCCATAGCGCATTGCAAGAATAATAATAACACGACCACTCGTACTGACTCACACGATATGATAACTGATGCCTTCCAATTGACTGGATCATCCCCGCGCCCACAGAGCAAGGGAAAAGAAAGAGCGATAATATTTTGTGAGTATCCGCCAGACACCATTCGGTCTGTAGCTCACGCATCTCCAGCTAATGGTGATCGCTTTCAAGCGTTTGGGGAGAGCAATGTATCTGCTGGTCAAACGGCAGCAGGCGCACCTGCAGAGCACGAGCTTCAAATTGGCGAACATGCGTTTGACGACAATCCAGGTGATAGTTGTGACGCCAGTGAAACTGCAGCAGGCGTGGCTACACAAGGTGAGACAGGTGAGGATGGGGGCAACGCCGCAAGTGGAGATGTCACGAATGGGATGTTCTCGGTCGCAGCACCGCGGAAAGAACCTTGTCAAAATACTAATACCGACGTCATTATTCCTTTCATGGGTATGGCAACTATCGATCAGACTGAGCAAAGTAGTGCGCCAATGATTGTTAGAAGATTTCACTCAGGCTAACCATCATTCAGCAGCTCGAACACAAACTGCCTCTCAAGAACAAGATACAGTGACTTATATGGTCAAAACAGAAATAGGTTACAAAGTTCAAAACTTTTTTCTCTTCTTGGGCTGGTACATATGTTAGAGGGATTCCCAAGGATCAATATGAGCCCGGAATGAAAGAAAACGGCGGTTGGGATGTGGAGATAAAGTCCAAATACTGACTTTTTCATACCTGTGACCAAACTCAATATTTTCGACCTCCAGAGACCCTGGGACCATCACCAATCGATTTCTACGTCTTAAAAGCACCAGGACCATTATTTACAGTATCGGTTTTGAGCTAAAAGTGACCATAGTAAGATATATGAGGTAGGAGGGGGGAGGAGGACCTTCTATATCTCAACAACCTGATTTTTCCTGACAAAACGGGCTTGACCATCGTGTTTAGGGACATCAGGAGCACTCCGGAAAAATACTTTTAGAGGACAAGCAAGTCATGGGAAGCCTAGAAAAATCGACCTTTGAGGGGGGTATCAGGAAAACTCCCATATGTTAATTAGGATGGACTCAAATCACTCTGGGACCATTTCCAATCGATTTATATGATAATAAAACAGTAGGAACATCTCTTTATATACCGGTATTTACATAATATCAAGATATATGAGTTTGGGGGGGGAGGGGGACCCTGCATATCTCAACAACCTGATTTTTCCTGACAAAACTAGCTTTACCATCGTGTTCAGAGGCATCAAGAACTCTCAGGAAAAATACTTTTGTAGTCCTGGCAAGACATGGGAAGCCTGTAAAAATCGATCTTTGGGGGGGGTACCAGGAAAACTTCCATATTTGTCTCAGGATGGATTCAAAACACTCTTGAACCATCTTCAATCGATTTATATGATCATAAAACAGTAGGAACATCCTTCTATATACCGGTATTTACATAATATCAAGATATATGAGTTTGAGGGGAGGAGGGGGACCCTGCATATCTCAACAGCTTGATTTTTCCTGACACAAATAGCTTTACCATCGTGTTCAGAGGCATCAAGAACCCCCAGGAAACATACTTGTGGAGTCCTGGCAAGACATGGGAAGCCTAGAAAAATCGATCTTTGAGGGGGGTATCAGGCAAACTTGCACATCACATTCCATATTGGTTCAGAACACTATGAAACCATCTCCAATCTATTAATATGATCCTTAAACACTGGGAACATCCTTTTCACATCATTATTGACATAAAGTCATGCCTCTTGGTGAAGTAGGTGGGGGGAGGGGGTAGCATGACTCTCAAACCTGATTTTTTCAGATGAAATCAGCATTGCCATCTCATTCAGATTGGTCAATAACCTCTAGATCAAGTTCAACACGAAGCCAGACAAGTCACATGAAGGCTGAAAAAATCAATCATTGAGTGAGGCAGCATGACAGGGGTGACACAGCTTACATAAGCAAAAGCGGTGGACTTGGACTCACTTATACCAAGACTTTGCAAGATCAAGTATTTCTATTGCTGCTCAATATATATGGATCAATTACCTTCATAATGAGCCTGAGATCGAGCCATGCGAGTGATATATTGGTACTGTTGACAATAGTTTGACCCCCATGAAGGGGTGGCAACCAACCTCAAATGCCCCCAGAATCACCAAGTCAAAAAGCCCCCAGAAGCGAAAATAGTTGGTACTGTTAGCAACAGTTTGACCCCCATGGAGGAGTGGCAACCAACCAAACATGCCTCCAGAATCACCAAGTCAAAAAGCCCTCAGAAGCGAAAATAGTTGGTACTATTAGCAACAGTTTGACCCTCATGAAGGGGTGGCAACCAACCAAAAATACCCCCAGAAGCGAAAATAGTTGGTACTGTTAACAACAGTTTGACCCTCATGGAGGGGTGGCAACCAACCTCAAATGCCCCAAGAATCACCAAGTCAAAAAGCGAAAATAGTTGGTACTGTTAGCAACACAGCATTACAGACATTCATAACTTTTAAATGTGATTTTTTTGAATGAAAAGGGCATTACAATCGTGTTCAGAGGGCTCAATACCCCCAAGTGAAACGTCTATTTGAAGCCAAGCAAGTCATATGAAGGTTGAAAAAATCAATCATTGCTCGAGGTGGGTCTGCTTACATAAGCAGAAAAAATGCGGAGGCAGCACAATGAGGTGGTTATTTTTCATGGACAAACTCATGTTTCCAGTGCATTAAGCAGGTTCTATCATATTCAAAACAAATTCTGCTTCAAGTCTGACCAATCACATGAACGCACAAAAAATAAAACTTAAACAGAGGCAAGCCAGTCAACTGAACTGAACCAACCAACAAATAAAGTTTAACAGACCGATGTTTGCAAGCAAAATAGAGTCTTCACTGCACATTGTGTCCATAAATGTTGCTATATAATGGTCCACCCATCCCAACCTCATATCTCCCTCCATCTGATCAGAGAGGCAGGAAGCTCTGGACTCTAGGCAAAGTTCTCTTGCCCAATTTGCCACTGATTTGGCTGTCATTGAGGATGGTAGGAGATAACATCAGCTCCAGCAGGTGGTGGAATACTTGATTATGTGAGTCGTGATGCAGCTGTGAGCTGGCTTCGTCTCCTACCACCCTCTATGCCAGACACAGCCGACTCAATGGCAAATTGTTTGGCCTGTCTTGCCGCATTTGACACATATTTGGCGATAGACAGATATCAAAACCACCATGAAGGTAAGTTCTACGTTTTAGATCACTACCTTCAGCCTTGATGTCATCAAGTAGAATGACAATTTCCTCTCTCCATGCAGCCTCGGAAAGGAACAACACATCTACATTGATATGGGAAAAACAGAAATAGGGTTCACATATTGGTAGCTGAAATCATGGCAGGACAACACTTAAGAGCTTACTATGTGGAAATGGAAAACAGGCGAAATTGGATGGCTTTATGAATGACGCCGCATTGCAGACATTCATATTTCATCTTTGTCTGCAACCACTGCTTCCCATAATATTGCTTTTCATGCGGATGAAATATCATGTTGTAGGCAGGTGCATTGCACCCGGCACTCAAGCACTGGTCATTGGGAAGGACCAGGTTCGAATCCTTGTCCTGCCATGATTTCAGTGTTCAAACTGGTTCATCTTGACTCGCCAGTATTGGTTCACCTGTTTCAATTTGCATATGACAAGCTCTCAAGTTTTTTGTCTTCCATGATAAATAAGACAGCAAGGAACTCGCTGCATGTTTGGATGAGAGGTGAAGAAGGTGAAGGTAGTGATTTCACGACTGGTGCATGTCTAGAATATATGTCAGAACAGGTAACACAGACTCTGCTTCATCTTGAATCACCAGGATGAGTTCGGCTGGTTTCCAGTTGAACAACACATCTGCATTGATTGTGGGTGCAGTGTGATATGAAATTTCGGTGACTACAGAGGTACAGGCTGCAAATCTCCTCAGCAATCGAAATCTTATGTAGTGAAAGAATCAACTTTACCGCTCATGCCACTCTTGCCAATCATGTCCGCTGCAGACAATGATCAACATACATGGTATTGAGAGGAACTTGCCCCACTCTGCCTTGCAGTGACCACTCCCCATCTATCATTGCTGTTATGGTTGGTGATTTCCTGGCTTGTTTCTACCACCATTGTGCGTCATGACTTCACTGCTGACTTCATGAAAACCAACATCAGTGTGGCATAACTTATCTATCTCTTTAATATGACCATCTGTGCGACCAAATTGTCCAGCAAATAATGAGCCTGGTCGCTTTTTTGGCATGTCAGTGCTGGAGCTCTCACTTCAACAATAAAAGGCTGTCAGCTTATAGGAGGCTTCAGGGTCAGGAAAGAACATCAAGGACCGGTTTGCAAATGCTCTTGACCTAGGACCCATGCGACCTGGAGTTACACCTGTATGGTCCTGCAGTCCAGCATTGATTGCTTCAAAGGCCACTGATGCAAGAGTGTCATCGATGTGGAATACTTGATTAATGCGAGTCATGACGCAGCTGTGAGCTGGCTTCGTCTCCTACCACCCTCCATGCCAGACACAGCCGACTCAATAGCAAATTGTTGGCCTGTCTTGCCACCTTTGAAACATATTTGAAGATAGACAGATATCAAAACCACCATGAAGGTAAGTACTACGTTTTAGATCACTACCTTCAGCCTTAAGCTTGTTACACTGAACCCTTCCGCCAAACCCTTCCACAGCACAGAGTGGTGAAACTGTATGAGATGTGCTGATGAGCACAGAAATCATTGTTTGCAGCCTTGTAGCAGTATTTTGAATATGTTTTTAGCAGGCTTATCTATCCATGTCAAGTGTCATGCTACCAGATGCACCCAGATCCACTATGGATCTCCTCATAGTGTTTACTAATACATCGATGTCATGTATATATACTAATCAACATCCATTGCATCACCCTCTTCTATAGTCTCTCCTGTGTCCATGGGAAATGATCTGGATTTACGAGGATGTGGAGGAGGAGGCACCCTCTTGTTTTTCTTGGCCATGGTTATTTTTTTGTGGATCTCTCGACGCTTTTGCCTCTCTGTCTTTCTTCTCAGATTTCCATCAGCATCAAATGGTTGTGAGTCCATCAGGTCAGCCGCAAAGATGCGCTTGCCCTTGATTAACTTCATAGTGCGACGTGCTCTTGGGGCTCTCCTCTGGCTCTCGCCCCCCCTTCCGATGCAGTCTATCCTATAATATGCAGGATTTGTTATGAAGACTATGGCATCATTCTTCTGCACCCACACTCGTGCACCACTTGCAGGAAGACAATGAAGGTTTGAAAATACCTCGCGTAGACCTTGCTTCAGCAATACCCGTTGTTCTTCTTCCATCATCTTCATCATCCTGTGAAACTGTGCGATGTATCCATCTCCCTCCCATAGTGTGGACCATTGAGCGTTGTTTTTATGTGATGCATCAGGATCGGGAAAAAATAGGGAGCATCTGTCCACAAACGCTCTCGACTTGGGACCCATGCGACCTGGAGTTACGCCTGTATGATCATGCAACCCAGAATTGCATGCTTCAAAAGCAACTAAAGCGAGGGTATCGTCGATGCTCGTCATCGTCCAGCACTTCATGGACTCCTTAAGCGATTTGGGGTAGGGTCTGATGCCCTTAAGGACTTCATCCGTCAGCATCAGCCACATGTGCCTCGTGAATGCAACCACAAGTCGTTCAACAGAGAGTTCGATGTTAGAAAAGCTGGATAACCATACCCATGGTCTCATGATCGTCGCAGGAGAGCTTGAAATTGCTGTCTTTAGCTGAGTCCATGTTGGTGTCCGACCAAGAGGATAGCCTTCCATTCCTGACTCTGTTATCTTCCATCCTTCCACTTTTCCCACTGCTTTGTCTCTTTGAGCCTTCGCATTTACACCCATGAGTGCCAACACATTCACATCATCGATTTGCTGCACTTCCTCCAGGCAGGTTTCGCTGCATAGATCAAATTCCTGCAAGAAGAACATCCCTGCTGTTTCGAGTACATTTCTGTATTCAAGGAGGGCGAGTGATTCACGGACATGACGGTCGTAGACGATAGGCGTTGATATGGTTGAACGAAGCATGTGGTTCAGCAAGCCAGTTAGGGTGCCAAGATTGGGAGGGTTCTTTTTGACAATGAAGATTTGGGTCCTTTGAATCTCCCGCACACGTCGCCTGATCAACTCAAACCAGACATTGGATGGAATCCACAGTATAGGATCTGAGCGCAGATAGTCTATAGCCTGCATTGACATGGAGACATTCAGCTTACATTACAACGATCGACGCAGTGTATATTACTTACCTTGTTTTCTATGTTATCCAACATTGTTCTAGCCGCTTGTCCGCTCACCCTATACTCATCTCTGACACCATATGTTTTCCCCTTGCACCCTTCGACAACCTTCATTATTTCGAAGCATTCGGCCATGTACGATGGAGAAAGCTTGTAGGCATCACTGTCCGAAGCAAAGTTTACCTGGTTGTTGTTTGTTCGGATGGATTCGTAGTATAGGTTGTAGCTGCTCCGGAATGCTATGTGGGTCTGCTGGGATCTCTGCTGCTGCATCTCTGCCTGGAGGGCACCATATCTGGAGAGTGTGTTCTGGTGATGAATCTCGCCTCGCTTGTAACCTCCTGCGCCATACGATGCCTCCAATGCATCTAATCTCCATACACCAACAACCGGAACTTCTGGAGAGCGTGGAGTGAATGAGATACCCACATCCACCAGAAGCTCGCCATGCCTGTGGTTCATCATATATGGCCAGTCCAGGTCTGACAGGTTGCGACGCAAGGCTTCCTCCGGTCCTGAGAAACGTCCTCGCTGTCCATCCTTTGTGAGGAGCTTGATTCCCTTCCCCTCCAAAATGAAGAAGAACGACCCATACATGCTGAGCTCCCCCTCTCCATTGCGTATGCAGGCTTCCATGCGTTCCTGAACATCCCTAAAGTCATCATCTGACAGGGGAATTGTTTTTGGAGGTCCCCATCCTCCTTTGCGTCCTTCCACACCTCTTGCCTTGTATCGTGCCTCCTCTAACGTGTGCTTCATATAAGGCGCCCAGCTGACATCGGTGCAATCTCCTATAGATGGAAGCAGTACCCTATCCCAGAAAATATCCAAGACCTCCTTTGGCATCAGTGTGATTCTTCGTCCATTCACTGGGTGTTGGTGGATCATCCTCGGAAATGCAATATAGAGATTGAGTGTCGAGGATGCGGATGATATGCGGCCCATACAGGCATGAGGGATGGCAGCCATAGGAAACCTTTTAGACAGCCATTCCTTTCTTCCACCAGGCGCATTCGCATCTTCTTCTGACTGTGGAATGGTGATGTTGACATACGTGTGATTGTGCTTGAATATACCAGGTTTTGTTTGGAATGGTGGAGTGATGTATATGCCCACTGACCCCCTGCATCGGAACACCTTTGTCGTCCAAATTATACTGTCTATGTCCACTGATGTCTCTAGCTCATCTTCTGAAAATTTAACCGCATCCCGTTCAAGGTCAACATATAATGCAGGTCCGTCTCCGAAGCGATGGCTGGTCCGGCCACGAACAAAGGCATTGTGTCCGAACCTACACTCCTCATGCAGTGGGGGATCATATTGGGCGGCATCGATGAGTTCTGAAGCAGAGAGAATCTCGACGTCAGAGATGTGCGTGTTCTGACCTTCCTTAGCCAACCCCAGACGATTCAGGCTGTATGCACCTGTGACTCGATCTGGAACTTGATTCGAGGGGTCATGGAAATTGGTAGTGCCAACACACATGATGTGGTCCATGGTAGCTATGGGCTCGCATTGATAGAATATATGGAATGAGCTAGGAGTGATGCGGTATCCATGATCGATCCAGTCCACCCATGCAGTCGACAGCTGGATTCCCCCAACCTGGAATGTCATGGTTGGATTAATGTCCCTGGGAGTCATCAACATCTCTATCGTAGGTCCGCCCTCATAATCATCGAATTGATGGTTATCCTGGAGCCATGTTGATCCCCGATATGCAGCTAGTGGTGGTGGTGCAGTTGGACGTGGAAATCGTTTACTGCTTCCAAGATTCAAGTTCTTCACTCGCCTACGAGACACTGAGGCAGCCGCAGAGCGCTGTGAGTCCCCTGTATTTATGGAATCAGGTGGTGTTTCTTGCTCCAATTCAAGGTGTGTTCCAATAGCGCGAGGAACTATAGCATTACGATTCCGAGAACCAGCCAATTGTCGGTTTTCTTTGATCAGCTTTGCGAGATTGTCCCTCCTTTCTTTAGGCAGATGGATGTCGATGGCATTCTCATCTTCACTCCATTCTGCTTCTAAGCCATCCTGGTCTACTGTGGTTTGATCTCCATCGTCATCATTAGGTGAGGGGTGTTCGCCATTCTGGTTGAATATGGATTGATGACACGTTGAGCAGGTGGCGCTGACAACAGTCAATTTCTTCAAGAGCTTGACGCATTCGGCCTGGTGCTGCCCATTCTGAATCGCGTTTATTACATCCTCGTCCGGTATGTCATCCTCTGTCCGATCGTCCATTGGTCTGTCGAGGAGCATCAGGTAGTCGCTACAGCTCAGCTTGATACGCCCAGCAATTACTCGCAACATGTGGATGCGCAGTCTGTGGCCACATTGAAATTTAAGTGCTGGGAGGTTTCCATACTCGTCTAAACCTGTGCGCAGACATTGCTCCAGCACAGAGCAAGCTATGGGACCACAGTCGACTCCGTTTTGCTCCCAATCATTTGGTATCACAGACACATCGGTGACATCCCCTGGGTTCCAGCCATGCAGGAATGCGATTCTCCTCCAGTATTGAGGTCCGCCCCAATCCCTCCAGTCGTGTGGATCGACATCATCCACTTCCATTATGGTGTCTGAAATGTGGCGACCTAGAACATGGGCTATGTGTCTCTGATAGTCGAAAATAGCAGCAAAAAAAATGATCGGAATGATGGACGATGAATCCAACAGGGATCGCTGGGCATGTTCCTTCTTGAGGTAAGAAATGGTTCTTCCTGAATAGCTTCACTTCATCATCCACCATGTCATTCGCCATTGCTGCATACAGGTCCACGTATCTCATTTGTGACCTGTCCACGACCTCATACCAAATGTGACACAAATAATAGTTTGCCACTGTCGCATCAAGCCACTCATTCGATTCAAGAGTTCTCCAGTTGTGCCAAGCAGATGTCCACACAACTGGTCGGGCCATTGCACGAGCTGTTATTTGATGGAATTAACATCTCTCTTTATTTATGTATCACAGTGAACTCACAAGATGTTTCCTCCTCTGTAGGTTCAGCTAACATAGCGAGTGCCGGTACTTCAAGTGAGGGTGACCGAAAGTCAGTTTGTGGTGGTGGCGTAGGTCTATAGTCAAGATCCAGTTTGTTTCCATCAAGGGGTGCTGAACTGCCTGTTGGCACAAAAATGTGTTTAATATCCTGAAGCATCCTGAAGACCATAATGAAGATCCTTACGTTGAGATTTTTCAATGAGATCTTCTTCTTCTTCTTCTTCTTCTTCTTCTTCTTCTTCATCGTCATGCATTTCAACAACACTGTGAATAAATTCTTGAGTTACATCTTTCTGCGATGCTACAAAGTGAATA